ACTGTATATGGAGCTTACAATCCACCCTACTTTGCTTTGTCTGCCTTGGTGGATCACCTATGCAGAGAACTGAGCAGGGCGAGTGTGTCCTTGTTGGTTATACTGGACCACTGAACAGCTTTTGATACCATTAACCATGCTATCCTTTTGGGCTGCCTTGCTGAGTAGGGACTTGGAGGCACTGTTTTACAGTTCCTTCCTGGAGGGGTACACCCAGAAGGTGGTGCTGGAGAACTCTTGTTCGACCCTCTGGCCATTGGCCTGTGAAATCCCTGGGGTTCTGTTTTGGCCCACTTGCTATTTAACATATACATAAAACAACTGGAAGAGATCATCCAGAATTTTGATGTGCAGTGCCATCTCATCTATATGCAGGTGACACCCAACTCTACTACTCTTTTCCACTCAAAAGCCAATAAAGCTGTCCTTGTCCTAAACCAGTGTCTATCATCAGTAATGCAGTGGATGGGGGTAAGAAAACTGAAACTTAATCCAGACAGATATGGTTACACTCCAGTCTGGGGGTACTCCTGAACTCAACATTGAACCTGGAGGCCTAAGTTTCACCAGTGCACATTTGAACTTTATGTGCCAACTTGAGATATCCAAACTAGCTACCATGGTACATGTCTTGGTTACATGTGTGGGGCTGCCTTTGAAAAGTGCTCAGAAACTTCACTTGCTCCAAAGAACGACAGCCAAGTTATTATCTGGGTCTGGCTGCAGGGAGCACACAACCCCTCTGCTGCAAAAGCTCCACCGGCTACCAGTGTGTTTCTGGACACAATTCAAAGTGCTTGTTACAAGCTGTAAAGCTTTATACTGCTTATGTAGGCTATTTGGCAGACTGCACCCCCCAGTATGAACCTGCCAAGGCCCTGAAATCCTCAGGAGAGGCCCTTCTCTTGGTCCCACTGTCACCACAAGCATGCTTGGTGGGGACTCAAGAGACGGTCTTCTTTGCTGCCTGTCCCTCAACTCTGGAACTCCTTTCTTCCCAGGGAAGTCAGAGTGGCCCCCTCCCTGCTGTCCTTGTCCTTCCTGTGGCAGGCTAAATCCCTTCTTTTCAGTCAGGTTTTTAAGGTAGAATGTTTTTAAGAATACGTCAGGGGGTGCCATGTAGTGTTTTATTTTAATTGATTTTAACAGACCTTGTACGATTAATTCTGTTTTAATTTTTTTTTATGTTGTAGATTTTAAATGGCATTTTTTAAGTGCCGTGAGCCGCTCTAGGCCTCAATCAAGAGAAAAAGTGGGGTAATAACCATCATAATCATACTCTCCACACTTCAGTACAAAGATCTCACAGACCTGAACTTTACCAGAATTTTATGAGGAACTCCTGGTCATGAGGAACTTTGGGTCTAAAGCGCAAATGACCACAGATTCCAGGAAGATGATTTCACTTACTTGCTTCATGATAAAACATTGAATCTTCACAAGGTTTGCATGCCTTCTTGCACACACAAAAAACCCAGACAGTTTGCCACTGCATTTCCCAGAAAGCCCATTGGTTTGTCACCACCTATTCATCACAATGGAGATCTGACTCAGTGTATGTAAGAATTCCTAGCAGTTTTGTTTTTCAACAGTTTGTGGGGACTGGGTACTTCTTTGGCAATCCTGAGTTACAGTAATTTGGAAGGAAATTTTCCATTCCCTTTAACCTAAAAGGAGAACTTTAAGAAATACTTTCCTTGTCCCACACTTGAACAGACAATTAAAATGCCATGAATTTGTAAGTTACCAATGAGATTGAACCAACAGTTGAAATAGCCACCTTCACTAAATCTGAAGAGTATTTGTCTTTTCAAATGCCCAATGCAATTAAGAACATTATATTATTGTATTATCCCACTTTTCCCCCAACTGGGACTCAAAGCAGTTCGGAATCTAATAGAATGCTGAAATTAAAAACATATAAAAGTTAATTATTAAAATAGGATTAAACTAGTTACTGTATTTTTTTAAAAAAAACACACCTGAGTAAAATAAATGTCTTTTTGAAAAAATAAAAAAGCTCTTAAAATAGTTTAGTTATAACAATACAGCACCATCTAGCCTGTTCTTTTTTAAAAAATCTGTTTAACAGCCTGCCTAAAATTGAAACGTTTTAGCCTGCCACGAGAAGGACAGCAAGGAAGAGGCTATTTTGTTTCCCTAGACAGGGTGTTGCAGAGTCAAGGGGCAGACATCAAAAAGCCTTTGTTCACGTCCCCACCAACCATGCTTGCAATGGTGGTAGGACTAAGAGAAGGATCACTCCTGAGAATCTCACAGCTTTGGTAGGTTTGTACAGGGAGATATGATCTGTCAAGTAGCCTGGACCCGAGCCATCAAGAGCTTTATTGGTTGTAATCTGCACTTTAATATGCCAGAAACAAACTTTTTTCATATCAGGAGTGACTTGAGAAACTGCAAGAAACTGAAACTAACTGGCAGCCAGTGAAATTATGTCAACTGGGGTATACTATGGTCTCTGTAGCCTGTCCCAATTAAAAGACTGCCTGCGCCATTTTGGATCAACTGGTGTTGTCGAACTACATGTCAACCTATGACATGTGAGCCAGTATGGTGCAGTGCTTTGAGTGTTGGACTAAGACTCTGTATGTCAGGGTTCATATTCCTGCTTAGTTGTGTAAAACAGTCCTGGATGGGAGTTATACTCTCCTGAAAGACTGTGGCCCTTTCCACACATCTGAATAAAATCCCACATTGTCTGCTTTGCACTGGATTATATGGCAGTGTGGACTCAGATAACCTAGTTCAAAGCAGGTAGTGGGATTTTCTGCCTTGATTATCTGGGTTATGTGGCTGTGTAGAGGGGCCCTGTGTTCACAGCTTGGGAGCATTCCTGGATCAGCCTCTCCAAATGTTAGCCCAGGTAGATGCATTGGTCAGGAGTGCTTTCTACCAGCTTCAGCTGATATGCCAGCTGTGTCCCTTTCTAGAATTGGAGGACCTAAAGATGGGAGTCCATGAACTGGAAACCTCAAGGTTTGACATCT